TTGAGCCGCCACCACCACCACAATGCCTACTTTGTGGTGTCTTGAAATCCACATTACTAGAGTACTTTACGTGTCTTTCACACAGCTTCAGGGGCAGAGACCCCCTCCTCTGCATCTCTGGTGGTCAGCCTCCTCCCCCAACAGTTGTTCGCTGCCTTGGTGATCCTGAGCACGGGACTTGGTGAATCTTCCAGATTTCCTCTTTCTCTTGACATGTGAATTAACCTCCTGGGTCTCCTGACCATCCCTGTCTCTAGTGGAACCCACTACACATTAGTAGTCTCCTGGGCAAGCACAAGGTTGCTGAGAGACCCCATTTCCAAATCCAAAGTGGGAGGCTCTTAGAGATAAGACTCCCAAGATCTCCTGTCTTCCACACACATTTACACACGTGTCAGAACACATACATGCGCGAAACCTACCTGATTGCACATACCCTTCTACCATGCAACTGTCCTCTGTATGTCTACCTTTCCTGACATACCTACAACTCCTGAATTGCTCCCCATGATTTCACAAAAGATATGACAGTGTTTGTTTCCACAGGGCTTACAGATGCAAGCAGACAATGTATGCAGGGCACAATAGCACACATCAAAAAGAGAAATTCTTATCAAATGTATTGCAGATTTGTATTTTTGTCACTTCAATTTTACTGAAGATAGAAATGAAGTCTTGATCTAAAGACATGGCAGTGTTGTGACATTTTCCCAAATGGTGGAAGTAAGCCATCTTTGTGACTTACGAGGGTTATCACATGATCTAGAAGTAGATTGTCCTTAAATAGCTGGTGAGTACATGGACTAACTGAACATGCTATTAGATAATTCTTGGTACTGCTGATCCTCACATCACACTTCTGGGGAAGAAAATTGAAAAGAGAAACACGTTGTTTCACATCTGGCTGACCTTGAAAGAAAACTTCAAAACTCAATAACTTAAAGGGTCCATTCTCAAGGTAAATCAGGCCACTGCTGAATGACAATCAAATTGTGTATTTCCTTTACGTGGTAAAGCCACCAAGCACAGAAGATGTTAAATTCTGTACCCAATTCCCATGTCTGTAGAACTTAATGTCGAGTTGAGGAACTAACTACCCATAACCACTTTATAAAAAGTCATATCAAAAACAGTAATGTCAGAGTAATTGAACAGTACAAAAGTAATGGAATGGACACAACATTAATAGAGTTAGGACATAGTTCAGTGACAGAGTGCATGCCTAAAATATGAGGGTCTGCAGTCCAGCCCTAGTGCCACAGGAAGTGAGGGAAGGAGGATGGGAAGGGGGAGAGAGTGTGGGGATCAGGAACTGGAGAAAGGGGGTGAGTGGCCACGGAGCCCACACAGAATTTCAGGAATCAGGTTCTTGGAGACCAGATTCAAGGTGCAGATCTGACTTTATTGTTCAGAGTAAAGGCCTTTAAACAACTGAAAGGCCAGTCAGACCACCCATGCTAGCCTCAAGCACCAGCAACAATCAATCAGGTTGTTGCAACTATAAGGACATGTGGGGAATGTGGGGGGCAGGGGGGAACATCACCCTAGGAGACTTCCATAAAGAAGGGGAAGCAGTCACTGCCCTAGCCTCAGATCCATTTTGAGACTCCACTAGTGTGTTAGGAGTCCCTAGAAGATCAACACTGTGTATAGTGGATCAGGACCTTTCAAGGAACCATAGGAGTGGCCAACACTTCACACACCATTCCCTATGGGCCTCCGCAAGGCTTATCTAGACATCCTCCACAAGGGAGGGAGGAAAGAAGGAAGGGAGGAGAGGGCAGGGCAGGACAGAAGGGGGTCCTACCAACTGACAGCCCAAAGTTAGTTTCAAGGGGAAGCAATGGAGCATAAGAAAAATGCTTGGCAAGGAATAGGCAGGCGACTTAGCAAATGACAGGGCTGCACAGTAATTTCCACTTGATGAGTAGAGTCATCAAGGACCCCAAGGTAAAAGTGGGATGGGGGTTCAAGCTGCCCATGTCATTCTGTACCCTACCTCTTAATGACTGGTCTGCAAGACCCAGGAAACACCCCTGTCCCTGAGGTCTCTCACCTCTCTGCATGTGCCAGGAAGACTCGCGAAACTGTGTGAGAAATCAGAGAGCAAGGACATATATGGCCAAAGGACAACCTTAAACTCTTGAACTTTCCACCTGTCCCTCCCCAAAGCTAGGAATACAAGCATGTTCTGCCACAGGGAATGTCTTAAATTTTTCACGTGATATGATTCTGAATTATTATGTTAAAAATTAACATCATTTGCTTATACATTCTTAGAGAAAAGATGGTTTTAAGCTGGAAGGAGGAAAAACAGAACCTAGAATTAGTTAAAACATACATTAAAGATAATTCTAATATAATTTCTTTATATATGAGTCAATTATAAATGAATCAAAATTTATAAGTTTTATAATTTTTTATTTAATTTTCAATTAGGTGTGTGGGAGTGTGGGGTATGTGCATGGGAGTAAAGCCCCAAAGGCCAAAAGAGGGCATCCAACATCCGCACCGCAGGACTGAACTGGGGTCCTCTCACAAGAGCAGTGCAGGCTCTTTGCCTCTGAGCCCTCTCTGGAATCGCAGGGATCAGCATAAGTATGCTAGACACTCATACAAACCAAGAACCTTCCAGAAGCTGGCGTTTGTTTATGACCTGCTCCAGGGAGTCTGCACGTCTGTGCTATGTGCCTTCTCCTTTTCTCTCCACCGACAGGCACTGCTTTGCTCTCTGTGCTTGCTTTTCCCTTGGAGGATTTCTATGGAGACGCTTACCCCGTGATCAGCAACACACCGGTGGAGGAGCGGACTGGGCTGTTTCACACCGCACTGTTGACCCTCTGCCTGGGCACAGGAGGAATAAGAGCCGTCATTTGTCCATGGGAGGCAGGCGGCCTTCAGGAGCAGGAATCAACAAAGCTGATGTCCTTTTTTGACTGGTAAGTGGCCCTGTTAGGAAACAGAACACAGTTACAGCATTCTTTACTTATTTAACAGGTTCTCCCATGGTCTGGCCTTTGTCATTAGTTAGGCCAGGTGACAGTAAGTGACAATGGGCCAGTCAATAATCATGGTCAAGGTTGGAGACACGGCTCAGAAGTTTAGAACACTAGCTGTTCTTTCAGAAGACTGCAGTTTAGTTCCTAGATTCCAAGTTGAGTGGTTCACAGCTGCCTGGAACTCTAGCTCCAGGAGATCCATTGCCCTCTGCTGGCCTCTGCCGGTCCACACATGTATGAGCACATACAGGTATAGACACACACACTCACACACACACACACACACACACACACACACACAAACTCATAAGTATAAGATTAAAAAAAATCATGATCAGATATAAAGCAGAATAAGCAACTTTTCAAGAAAAACCGACTAATTTGTCCTCCAGCTAAGAAGATGTTCAGTGGTTTGTCACAATGAAAAGAGTATGGCCTCTGGCCAAACAGGCCCGGTGGAGGTCTCATGTGTCCTTACCACAAGCGCCTAACCTTCATCAAGCCATTTTCCCTCTAGTTTATTCGTGTCTGCAGATAGCGTGAGTACTTCCTCAGATATGACTACTGAAGACAGAGAGAGCTCAGTGCATAGCGGCAGGTGCTCAGAAAACAAAACAAACAGGCAAAAATAAAACAACAACACAGTAGCTGTGGTAGTTATGTCAACATTGTAACAGATGAGCCCTTCCCAGGCTGGTGAGTTCACAGGCCAGTGTAAAGAGGAGATGACAATTTAAAAAAAAAGTGTTTCAGAACCTGTTGGATATCTGCCAGGATCCTTCTTTCTCATCCACATCACTCCAACACCTGAGGTGTTCAAATTTCACGAAAACCAAAATATCTTTTTCTGATGCCTTGCTGGGTGGCCTGGGGATAAGGAGGGACATGCAGGCAGGTGTGTGTATGTGCAGGCGTGTGCATACATGTGCTCCTCCAGGGGCCAGAGGTTCATCTCTGGTGTCGTTCCTCGGGAGCTACCAAGTTTTTTGAGAAAGGGTCTCTCATTGACCTCAGGAGCTTTCCAAATATCCAAATTTGGATGGTCAGTGAGTTCCGGGGACCTACCAGTCTCTGTCTTCCTGGAGCTGGGAAGACAAGTGTGCATTGCCACACCTGGCTTTTTACGTGGGTGCTGGGGATTGAACTCAGGTCCTCATGATAGCACAGCAAGGGCTTTACCTACTGAGCCCTCTTCCCTGGGCTGTATGTGTTTAAAGGAACTAGTGTGTATATTGTGAAACAGAAATTCAAGAAAACAGTTGTCATTTGGAAGTTAAGGAAGGCTCATTGTTCATAGCTTTAGTATGGAACTTCTCTTGGGGTCTCACTACCAATTAGTGGGTATAAAACAGCTATGAGCCACCATTAAGATCTACATGATAGTCATTTTTACCCCTTTCACCTAGAGTATAGATTAGTTAGTGCTTTGTAAAGTGCCATTTAGATCTAAAATGCCTCCCCAAAGGCCCATGTATTGAAGGTTTGGTCCCTGACCTATGATGCTATAAAGAGGTTGGAGAACATTTACAGAATACAGCATCATTTAAAAAAAAGTTAGGGTTTTGAAGAAGATAATAGAATCCTGGTCCTTTCCTATTGTTCTTCTTGCTTCTTGGCAAAGAGCTGGTGAGCAGCTCTGTTTGATCATTTGGTTCTAGCCAAAGCCTTAAGGTACTATCTCACCATAGTCTCTGTATCAGTGGCTCAGCCCACCAAGGACTCACCACAAACTAGGGAGCTATAAAAGCATGTCTGTGTGTATGATGTGTGTGTTTGTACTTGCATGTGTGTGTGTGTTTACATACGTAAATGTGTGTGTATGTTTGTGCGTATGTGTTTGCATGTGTTTAAGTAGGCTCCCAGCATTAATGAGAATTGCTAGCTCTCCATCACTGTTATCTGTGCATAAATCAAGGCATATAGCATTTTTGTGACCAGACAAAAATTTTGAAAAAAACTTAATCTTAAAACCATCAAATGAGGGGCTGGAGAGATGGCTCAGTGGATTAAAAATACTTGCTGCTATTGCTGAGGACCGAGGTTCAGTCATTACTGGCTCCCACATATGGCGAAAAACATCTACAACTCCAGTTCAGGGCATCTGACATCCTCTTCAGGACTAGGGAGGAACCAGGCAGGAACATGGTTTGAATGCATACATGGAGGCAAAGCACTCACATACATTTAAAAAAACTGCATTAAAGAAAATGTCTAGAGTCAATGTTATCTATGTGTATGCAGCTATCCTAGTGAATTCTTCTTCCTCCTCAGCCTTCCTCTCTCTCTTTCTCCTCTCTCATATTAATATTACAAAACACTCAAGCCTATTTTGGATTAAGTCTTAATGTCAGGGAAGGATGCAGTTTATCAAAGGGAGATGGGATGCTAGCTTCCTCATAGCAAATTCTGCCTCCTTGACCTGCCCAAAGGAGAAAGAAATCCTTTTTCATTCTACTCGGAGGTTTTAATCCTTAATTAGCAACATCATTTTGATTAAATAAGGCTCTGGAGGATTAAGACTGGAGAGCAATCAGTTGTTCTGAAAGATAGCTCCAGAGACTTTATTGTACTGTGGTTTTAGTCATTCGGAGTTGTATTTAATCAAAATGACATTTCTCGGTGTTGGTTACAAAAGGGACATTATATGAATGAATGACTTCCTTTGGGAACCAGAGGGGACTCCCAGTGGGTTTGTGCTTTGGGGATTTGGGTAGGAGGACAGAGAATGAGACACAACGAATTTGGGGAGCTGGGAGGAGCCAGGACAGATTCAGGAACAACCTATTTAGCAAGTACTTCTTATTATTTTCTAATTTCATTAAAAATCTCCAATGAGAATAATCACGTGGTGTGTTTGAAACCTGAAGATACGAGTGTCTGGAAAAGCAGATGACCCACAATGTTATTGTTAGATGTGATTAAACACTGGGTGTTAGGCTCACTTTAGGCTGGATTGCATTGTTCAGGTTTGCTTGCTTTCTTGGTATAAACACTAAACCACAGAACAAATTTATCAGCATTTACTTAGTAAAGTTTGTACAAAAAAAAAAAAATTGACATGAATGAAAAATCTGTTCTAGAACATTCTGAGTAAGTTGGTGGCAAGATGGACCGGGACTACACTGGTACAATCCTGTACTGGTCAGCCTTGGGAGGGCTGTGACTTCCAGCAAGATCGCAGAGATTTGGGGTTCCCAGTCACAGTGTGGGAGTACCGCAGAGGGATGTGCTGTTGCTTAAGCACAGGGTATCCTAACAGACCACTGGCGTTTGAATTATAACGGCTGCTATTATTCTTGAACATTGAGCAAGTTACAGATAAAAATCCTTACCTTTTTGCGAGGAAAGAAACCCCGTTTAACAGGCAGCCATCTTTAAAATGGGCTGTCTGCTAACTCAACTGTTTTCTCAAAGTCCAAAAAAAAATCCCCTAATGGGCTGAGGTCATAGTTCACCGACAGAATGGTTGCCCGGCGTTCAGAAAGCTCCAGGTCCAATTACCAGCGCCACAAAAGAGAAAGAAAATCCTAGAAGTTGCAAGCACGGGAAATGTTACTGATTTCAGCAGCACTTTTCAAACGACAACACACCCCTTAAATCTCTCACAACTCAAGTCTGCATTAAGTCCTGCTTTCGGCACAGATGTCAGATGTTCATAGCTGTGAGACCTTTAATGAGAGGTGTCGTTGCCTCTATACCACCCAAAGCTTCCCAGCAATCCTGTGAAGCAGTATAGACTGCAAGTTTTAGGAACTGCAAACATCGATTCTGAGTAAGGTTGCCAAATGGAGTGGAGAAACCCGTTCCTAGCCAACAGTGCCATCTGGAACAGCGTCTTCCGCTACTGTGTACCTCACGGGAAGTGTAAAGCGAAAGCTCTCTGAAATCGAGCTCTGCCAACATCCTGGTGTACGTACCCAGATCGGAACCCATCTCTTTCAGGGATTTCCAGGTTCTTAGGCGTGCAGTTATGAGCCGCCACACTGGAGATAATGAAAATGAGTGCACCTGAGCAGATTCTTTTCTAGAAGCCAAAAGATGGTGGAAAATTAAATATCTTCATGGCCATAATTTTAAAGCCTGCCGCCATCAGCTTCAAATTGCTCCTCACATTTTTTCTACTTGCTTTACCTGATAATTTACATTCTATCTCTATTTCACAGCGTGCTGCTCAGGTATCCCTACAGTGAATTGGGCAGAATTGAAGTCCCAAGTAAATCATTGACTAGGTTCTTAGTAGGGACAAAGATGAATTTATTCCACCCCCCAGATTTTAGGTATGTGTACTTAAATTGGCTTCTATGATGCCTGTTCCAGATAGAAAATGCTCTGAGTTGAACATGTACTCACATGTAGAATCTTTATTTTAGGGAAGCACTAGAGTTAAAAGATATTTATTCCACCATCTAATTCAGAAGCTGAACCCTGAAAACAAAGAATTTCAACTCTAGATGCACACAAAAGCCTTGGAAGCATTCTTCTAAAATATACCAATTCCTGGACCTCAGGGGTCTTGGTGACATTGGTTTGACCTAGGACACAAGGAAGGGAAATTGTTTTCTGTATTTTCAAGCTGACAGAATAGGGTTGAAAACCATTGTTCTCCAATAGTGTGACTTGACTTTAATATTCTACAAAAAGCAGGTAGGATGCTTGTGAAGTAGATGTCCAGGTGTTGAGGCATTCTTTAGCTACATGACATGTTAGAGACCACCTTGGGCATAGAGAGATCTTGTCTCAAAGGAACCAATAAATCAAAACCAAAAAGCAAGTTTTATCTATATTGCTTTGGGGAACTCTGTACATTTTGTGGCAGAGAAAATGATTATTTACAAGTGAATTATTACAAATGAGTTACATATCAGTGTATTATATCTATTATATATAATATATGTAGAAAGGAGGAGAAAGAATGATCAGGAGACCAAGCACTGTCTTGGCTACATATCAAGCGTGAGGTGATTCTGAGGTACACTTGCAATCCTCCACCATATCTTAAAGACAGTAATTCTCAAACATGACCCCAAACATCACACATTAGAGATTCTGGAAACGAGTGTTCACTATTGGGAAAAGAAGGTAGAAACAAGGAAAAAGGGGAGCGTGAACAGAGAGCAGCATCAGAGATCTGGGGAAAGAGGGGAAGCTGCTGTTAATCAATTAAAACTACGACTTCACCTTGACCCTTGGTGTTGACTCGTCAAGACTAATAATCATTTGTCAGCACCTCTGCTGGGGAAAACAAATCCATGTAACAAAGAAGAACTGTAATGTTTCTATTTGTTCCTTGCCTCTCCAAATACACGCTTGTTAGAATATTTCCATAGACACATAGTTATTCTAGAACAGTGCCACTCACTGTGACGTCAGCGTCCTTGTCATGTTTCAGTGTTTCAGTGGCCCTTTTAAATGCCTCTGCCCCACTCAACAGCCACAAATCTGCTGCAGCACCTTTACATCTTTCAGGACAGAATAAAATGTTCTCTCTTGGGTCCTTATGTTGCCCAGTCACATTAGGAAGACTGGAAACCTCCAGAAAGTTTGCCTTCCCTCCTTCATATCTAGTCACGATTGGAAATAATCTAATCATTTCTGTAAAAAAATCATTCCACATAAATTTGTCCACCTGAGAAATAGCAAAGTAGTGATGTGACTGTCATGTTACCACTAAATAACTTCAGCAAATGTTTAAAAAGATGCCAAAACGACAGCTGAGATTTGTGATGAGAATTCCCGAGGGTCATGACATTTTGTTGTGGTTGTTGTTTTGTTTTGTTCTGTCTTTTGTTGTTGTTTTTTAAATCGCCTGCATGATTCCAGTTATTTGTTTCATGCCCATACTTAAAAGCAGACTAAAGAATTGTGCTCCTACTGCCGCCTTCAATTTCCCTTAATCACTTGCATTTGTTTTGCTTTAGTGTTTTGCTCTCTGACTTTCAGTGTGAGGGGTGTTTTATACATTCAATTTACCGGTGAACTCTGAGATGAAAGGAGTCTTAATAGTAAGCTCCCAGGCTGTGGATTTTTCTTTTATTTATTTATTTATTGCAGATGATACATACATAATTCCACCCTTAATTATCTGTGGCTCACCCTGTCCATAGAACAGCAAAGACTAATATGGAGTGTGTCTGTGCTAAGTAATTCTTTCAGAAAACTACACAATCAAATAGGTGAGATGGCATTTGTTAAACTGCAGTTAGTGCTTTATGTGAAGTCTCCTCCTGTACACAGATAATCCGGCACTGCTTTCCCAAGATTTACATCCCGGGGTATCCTTTTCTCATCTTTCTTGACCCAGTGTTTATCACCTTGTGGTACACTGAAGGGTCACTGAGAGTCTTCTTGTATCTTTTCAATAGTGTTGCTTATCCTTGAGAGGGGAAGCAATTCTAAAGAGTAAAAAGTAACAGAGCATTGCTTTGGCTCTCACCTCTCAGGTGCTACAGCCACAGTTCAATAGGACAGTTTGCCACAGCAGGGAAGCTTAGCCCAAGGCTGAGTCTAGGGACTCTACCTGATTGTCCTAGAAAATTCTACCTTGGTAACCTCACCTGCATTACGACAAGTTCTTGTACATGAGTTACATTAACTCAATTTCTTAACCACCGTTCCCTTGCCAATCATTAGGAGTCTTTAATGGCCTATGTTTTTCTTATGTCACATCTTTAGTCAATTTGTTCTGTATTTTCCATTCATTGTGTGTCTAGTGCTGTGCTGGGGCCATGAGGATAGAAAAGTAGAGATGCAGAATAAGATAGTGTTTGTGAGAAATGTGACAATCTACATATGAGAAGCTGAACTGACAAGGGTGAAAATTAGCTGTTTGTTTCGGAAGTTCAGGGGCCAGAATAAATAGAGCATTTCAGCGAGCTGAAGAAGAGACCTGGTGAAAACTTTGAAAGTAAGTCAGGACAAGCCAAGGGAAATAACAAGTCACAGGCATGAAAATGAGAGAGTGTGTTTCAGACAGTGCCAGCCTATGGCATATCTCCTTTCTACACATACACCAACTACCTCACCCCTCTTCTGTGGCACCCCTGCCTGGCCAGCTCTCTCTTACTTGTGGTCCAGACCAGCACAAGGGCTGTGACTCCATGCCATGCCTTTTCTACAGTGCCAGAGCTGTAATCACTATAATCATTTAGTTCCTTTTCTCTTGGAGTCATATTTGAGCAACACATTGTTCACTTTCCTTCCAAGGACCCCCTAGTTATCTAAGAATAAAACTCCAACCCTTTACCATGGCCAAACAAACCCTACAGTATCTATTTGATCTCCAAATATGCACCCCTTTCTCTCAGATCCGTGTCACAGTTCTTGTTCTCTAAGTTAGGACTGGAGGAAAAATGCAACAGAAACACTTGCTTAGCACCATAAAGCTAACTCTTTAAAATAATCTTTGTCTAAAAGGTATGGTCTCTGTTTTTAAAATTAAACTGAATTCCAGAGCACAAAAGGGCAGGTAAGGTGTGAATGATTATGAGAATTTAGCTCATGTCATCTGACCACTATTTCATAGAGGAAGAACAATATTTATAATTAATGACAGATGAAAGACGTTGATCAAATGTCAAAGCCTGGATGAATAAGGAAATAATAGTGTCATAAAACTTACAACTACAGAGTTTAGGAAAGGGGAACAAAAAGATTGCTGAGCCCCAGTCCGTGCTGCAGGCTGCCCAGTGACAAATGGCTTTGGTTCCTGGGCCTGCGACATACCTGGATCAAACCAGATTAGTCACCTCGGTTCTCCAAGTCTCAGATTTGTTCCCCGAAAAAAAAAATGTGGGAGAAGAATTTTGGTGAGCTTGTGTTTGGCAAGGAATTCTTAGAAACCACACTGAAAGTGTGAGCTGTAAAAGAAAATAAACCTGGTATGTGGAGGCCAACAAGACCTTGTTAAGACAATTAAAAGACATGTCCCAGGCTGAAAGAAACATTTGTAAAACTGCATAACTGATAAAGAACTCCTTTACAGACATAAAACGATTTTAAATTCAGTATTAAGAAAAAAAAGCCTTTTAAATGTGTGTGTGTGTGTGTGTGTGTGTGTGTGTGTGTGTGTGGAAAGTCAACATTGGATGCCTTCCTCTATCATTCTCCACATTACTTTTGAGGCAAGGCCTATCACTGAACCTGGCATTAGTTTAACCAGTTGGCTAGATCAGCTGGCCAGTCCTCTCTCTCTCTCTCTTTCTCTCTCTCTCTCTCTCTCTCTCTCACACACACACACACACACACACACATACACACCACACCACACACCCCACACCAGGATCTGCAGTTTTGCCTCCCAGTCCTGGGATTACAGGGATTGCTTACCTGGCTTTTACAGGTGTTCTGGATCCTGAGCTCACTCAGGTCCTCATGTCTGCAGAGCAAGCCCTCTACCCACTGAGCCACCTTTTGAACACCAGCCTTCTATTCATGTGGGAGACATGTTTGTGTGAAAGCTTTATCAAAGAAGATAAAGAAAGCCAAAACTCATTACAGGAAGGTGGGTATCATTAACCACAATGAGACACTGATGCAAATCTTCCAGCCTCAGTGCTAACCGTGTGATTAGAGCATTTCCAGACAGGTGGTCACAATGTAAAATACCACAGTGTCTCAAAACACATTTGTAAATTTCTTTTTTATTTTTGCTCTCTTTTTATTCACTTTATATCCTTGCTGCAGCCCCATACCTCTTCACTCCCTCTTCTTCCCTCCTCCCTCCCCTCCTTTTCTGAGGAAAAGGGGGGCTCCCTTTCCTATCCACCCCACCTTGTATCTTCCCCTGTGGCCTGGCAAGGTAGCCCTGCTTGGGGGAGGGGGATAAAAAAAAAAACCTAGTGAATCTGTGACTAATGGAGTCCCCACTTCCCTGACTAGAGGACCCACATGAGGCCTAAGCTGTCCATTATACTATTAGATATACATATATGGTAAACCTCAGCCATTTCACTCCTCAGCTTTTACCTATAGAAAGTGAATGTCTGTATCTGTACAAATACTTCAGCATCAATGTTTGTACTAGCTGTGAGCTAGGAAAAATGTCTGTCAATAAAGAAATGGATGAATAAACAAAAAATGTTTATCTAATGGACCCTGCTTGGTAGTAAGAAGGAATGGCCTGATGGGACAGAGTGG